ACCAACGACCACCCCTCCCCCTACCCACCACTCACCCCTCTCTACCAACGACCACCCCTTCCCCTACCCACCACTCACCCCTCTCTACCAACGACCACCCCTCTCTCTACCCACTACTCATCCCTCTCTACCAACGACCACCCCTCCCCCTACCCACCACTCACCCCTCTCTACCAACGACCACCCCTCCCACTACCCACCACTCACCCCTTCTCTACCAACGACCATCCACTACTAACACTATCCCTCTTTACAACGACCATCCATCCCTACTCACACTCATCCTCTCTACCACGACCACCCATCCCTACCCATCATCACCCTCTCTACCAATTACTCCCTTCCCCTACCCACGACCCCCATTCCCTAAGCACCACTTGCCGCCTCTCTACCTGCACTCAGCCCTTCCTATTACGCAAGCTTTCCTCTTCTTTCACTCAAGATAAACAGTGATAATGCAGCCGCAGACTCGATGAATCGGAACCGCTTATGAACGACGGACTTCCGTTGCAGTGTCGCCACTTACGGCCGGTCTCATAAACACTATACGTACGCAGTTCCAAAATTATTCCGTCCCCGCAAATAATAAACTTAGTCGCCGAAAGGCTAATAGCCAAATTACATTAACGAGTTGCACTCACGCGCGCAGCTGCGTCAGCGACGATGGGCGAGAAAGGCACTGGGGAGGAGGGAGGAAAGGAGGGGAAGGAGAAGGATGAGGAGGAGGAGAAGGAAGGGAAAGTGAGGAAAGGGGGGGAGGGGGCACGGCGGAGGAGAAGGAGGCGGAGAAAGCAGGAGGAGGAGGAGGGGGGAGGGAGGAGAAGGAGGGGAGAAGGCAGGACGGAGAAAGGAGGAGATGACGACGAGAGGAGGAGGAGGAGAAGAAAGGAGATAAGGAGAGCAAATGAGGAGAAGGAGGCAGGAGGAGGAGAGAAGGAGAGAGCGAGGAAAAGAGAAGGAGGAGCGAAAGGAGGAGGAAGAGGAGGTAGGAGCAGAAAAGAAAAGAGAACTGAGGATGAGGAGAAGAGCAAGGAGAAGAGGAGGAAAGGAGGAGGAGGAGGAGGAGGGAGGAGGAGGAGGAAAGGAACAAGGAGGAGGAGAAGGAGAGGAAGAGGAGGGGAGCGAGAAGAAGAAGAGGATGAGGGAAGAAGAGAGAGAAGGAGAAGGAGGAGAGGAGAAGGAGGAGGAAAGAGGCAAGAGGAGGAGGAGGAGGAGGAGGAAGAGGCTGAGCAAGATTAGCTTCGCTTTGCATCTCTTTGCGTCGCTCGCCTGGCCATCCACCCCGCATCCGCAGCGCTGCGCTGCACAGTGGCGCAAATGCGCAGTGGATGCTGGGTGACGACAAGTGGGTCCGGGTGCGTGCCGACTATAGCGAGTGATCAGCGCATGCCGGTCGTCATCAACTGCAGGCTATGCTATAAACATGGACAGACTGTCGCTGACGCCACACTGTCATCGCACGCTGCCTAGATAGGACAGGTAGAGAAATAGACAGACAGGCAGGCAATCAGAGAAAGAAAGAGAGAGATAGGAGAGAGAGCGAGAGAGAGAGAAAGAGAGAGAAGACAGAGCAGGCAGCAATCAGGAGCAGGAGAGCGAGAGAGAGAATAGATAGATAGATAGATAGATACGATGATAGATAGGATATATAGATAGTAGATAGATAGATAGATAGATGATAGATAAGATAGATAGATAGAGTAGAAGATAGATGAGTAGAGAGAGAGAGAGAGAGAGAGAGGGAAAGAGAGAGCGAGAGAGCGAGGCAGGCAGGCAGGCAGGCAGACAGGCAGGCAGACAGACATACCTACATACACACATACAGACAGGCACACAAACACACTCACCCACACACATAGAGCACGCGCGCGTCTGTGCGTGTGAGCGAGGGAGCGCGCGAGATAGATAAATAAATAGATAGATAGAGAAAGACAAACTCGCATCACCCTCACACGCCAATCGTTAAAGTCAGTCATCGTCATAGTCATCGTCACCGCTGTCGTTAGCGTCACCACCGTCGTCACCGTTGTCGCTGCCGTCGTCACCGCCGTCGTCACCGTTGTCGCTGCCATCGTTACCGCTGTCGTCACCGTTGTCGCTGCCATCGTCACCGCTGTCGTCACCGTTGTCGCTGCCATCGTCACCGCCGTCGCCGCCGTTGTCGCTGCCATCGTCCCCGCCGTCGTCACCGTTGTCGCTGCCATCGTCACCGTTGTCGCTGCCATCGTCACCGCCATCGTCACCGTTTTCGCTGCCGTCGTCACTGCCGCCGTCGCGCACATCATGGCGTCGGACGCGAACGACAGCGGCGGTGCTGCGGACGCGTTCGTCAACTTCACGGCGACGAACTACTTGGGAAAGCTGCGCGACCCGCCGACGTGGGAGATCATCGTCAAGGTCGCGACGTACGTGCCCATCGCCGTCGTCGCCAGCGTCGGCAACGTGCTCGTTATGCTGATCGTCGCCCGCTGCAAGTTCCTGCATTCCAATGTGAACTTCTTCATCTGGAACCTGGCGCTGGCCGACCTGCTGACGGTGCTGCTAGAGAGCTGGGTATTCGTCGTACACGACCTCACCGAAGGCTGGGTGCTCGGTCCCTTCTACTGCAAGTTCCATGGCTTCATCGGAAGTGAGTACACGCACGCACGCTAGCACGCACGCACGCACGCACGCACGAACGCACGCACGCACGCACGCACGCACGCACGCACGCACGCGCGCACGCACGCACGCGCGCACGCACGCACGCGCGCACGCACGCACGCGCGCACGCACGCACGCACGAGCGCGCGTCTCTTCCGCGTTGTCGTCCTCTTTCTCTTTCTCCTTCTAGTTCCCTCCTCCTTCTAGTCCCCCTCCTCATCTTCCTTCGCATCTTTTTTCTGTACTTCTTTCTCCCCCTTCTCTCTTTCTCTCTCTTCCTTTCTCTTTCTCGCTTTCTCTCTCGCTCGCGCGTGCGCTCTCTCTCTCTCTCTTTCCTTTCTCTCTCTCTTTCTCTCTCTATATATATATCGCTGTTCTGCTTCCCCGCGTGCACGCTGGCCCTGTCCCTGGTCCGCGCCTTATCTCTTACACGCATCTCTCTTCATCTGTCGCTGTACTCCTCGCATACTTACCCTCGCTTTTCTCTCTTACGGCCACCATCGTTTTTCCTATTCTTATTTCACCGCGTTTCACCCGTCTCTTTCTCTTTTGCGCGCGCGCTCCCCCATGCCATTTTTTCCCGTTTCTTCGTCTCCCCCCGCTGATGTTCTTTTATATATTTTCGCGCTCTCTCTCTCTCTCTCTCTCTCTTATTGTCTGCTGCTCGCACTCGCTCTGCCACTCGCCAACTAATCCCCGCACGCTGCAAATTAACACTGTAATTAAGGGAGTGCTCGTATAGGAGCCAGGCAGTGCAAGGTCTTGAGCGTGAAACGTGATTGCTAATGTTTTTGTGTATTCTCGGCGTCGGCGGCGACGGTGGCGGCGGCGGTGGTGGTGGCGGTGGTGGTGGTGATGGTGGTGGCGGCGGTGGTGGCGGCGGTTGTGGTGGTGGGGTGGCGTTGAGATTACGGAATCCCCTCATGTGCATGATCGGGGGGCGGCTGTATCGATCGCACCCGCAGGGGGAATCACTGATGTGATGGGATGTGTGCATGGCTCGCCGCCACACGACAGTTAACAAACCCCTCGAGCCTGTCACAATCATAAGTCATTGCCCCGCCGTCAGACAGCGTGTGTGTGCTGTATATATATATAGATAGTATATTATTATATTATAATATATAGTATATATGTGCGTGGTGTGTGTGTGTGTGGGTGTGTGTTGTGTATTGGGTGTGTGTGTTGTGTGGTGTGTGTGTGTGAATGTGTGCGTGCGTGTGTGTGTGTGCGGTGTTGTTGCGTGCGTGCTTGCGTCCACGGCCCACAAGCCAGGTGCGCGCGCGCGAGTGCCGTTGTGGTGCTGTGCGTGTGAATGCGTGACGTGCGTGGTGCTTGCGTGCGTGCGTGCGTTGCGTGTGATGTGCGTTGGTGTGATGTGTGCGTCGTGTGTGGGGCTGCGTGCGTGCGGTGGCGTTCGTGCTTTGGTGTCAGGCCGGCTTTTTATCGCGAATATATGATATACAAGACAATTTACTTTTTTACGCGGAATCGTACATCGTTGATGTACGGTCCCGCGTACACGCCCGCAGACGCATACTCATGATCCATCTGCTGTGAATGAATGGGGGATACTACAACTAATGGTGTCACTGGCATAGTGGATGGCCCGGGAAATGTTTATCAAGCGTATGAGAGTGAGCTAGAGGTGAGAAGAATTGAGTTAGATAAGATATGGACTGGATGAATGGATGGATGGGATGGATGGATGGTTGGATGGATGGATGGAGGGATGGATGGTATGGATGGTGGATGGATGATGGAGCGGATGGACATGAATGGATGGTATGAATGGATGGCATGGCAAACGGAATGGATAGAATGGCATGGACGGATAAATGAATGAGATGGATGAACGGATAATGGAATGGATGGATGATGGTGGATGGAGGATGGATGGCATGGATGGATGGATGGTGGATGGGATTGAATGGATGGAATGGTATGGATTGGATGATGGATGGATGGATGGATGGTGGACAGATGGATGGTGGCATGGTTGATGGTATGAAAATCGGGATGAGATGAATAGCATGGAATGGTGAATGGATGGATGGGTGGATGGATGATGGATGGATGGATGAATGGATGGCAATGGATGGTGAGATGGAGGTGATGATGGAGGGATGGATGGATGGATGGATGAATGGAGAAGGATGGCATGGATGGGATATAGAATGGAGACATGAGACTGGATGGATGGATGGATGGACTGGAATGGAATGGGGATGATGGGATGGATGGATGGATGGGTGGATGGATGGGGATGAATGTGATGACTGGGAGGATGATGGATGTGGTGGATGAGGATAATAGAGATGAATGGATAGATGGATGGATGGTTAGATGGATGGAGATGGATGGATGGCATGCATAGGATGGTGGATGGATTGGGATGGATGGTGGATCGGATGATGGATGGATGATGGATGGATGGATGGATGAGATGGACTGGTAATGGATGAGATGGATGGATCAGATGGCATGGATGGAATGGAGGATGGATGAGATGGATGGAATGGTGGAATGAGATGGAGGATGGATGGATGGCATGGCAGGAGATGGTGAATGCATGGATGAATAGATGGATGGAGGGATGGATGGATGGATGGAATGCACGGCATGGATGGATGGCATGGATTGGATGGATGGTGAAGGAATGGATGGATGTTATGGATAGAAATGATGGATTCTGAGGATGGATGGATGGAATGGCATGATGGATGGCATGGATGGATGGAGGGAATGGATGGATGGATTGGGCATGGCATGGAATGGATGGAATGGAATGGTCATGGCATGGATGATGGAAATGAATGGAAATGGCATGAGTGTAATAGGAATGGATGGCACGATGCGACGGGATGTCATCGGATGGTTGGATAGATGGATATTTTAATATATAAGCGCATGGTATAATATGAATTACATTAGAGGACAATAAATAGCGTTAATGTCATAGCGCTATAAACCCGTCGCTATTAAACATGCATAGGCTCGCACAGTTCGTACCTAATTGCAGTCACATTAGGTCTACACGTACGAGCTGATACGTCATCAATGACTCATCCATATCTATCTCAACACATTGGCTGTCCCTCTGGGTTTCTCTCTCCTTCCCTACTGTCCTTCTCCCAAACTCTTACCCCAGCTTCTCTCCCCCCCCCCCACATCTCATTTACCCTCACGTATTTCGCCACTTCTACCTCCCCGCATTCATCCTTCGCCAATCCTTCCCTATCCTTCCCCAGCTTGTAACACAGGGATCTTGCTATCGTGCATCGTATAGTGGTGCGCGTGGGTGTGTGTAACACCTTACGGCTAACGTCTGTCATATACAACACGACACAGATAGGTACGTATTCAAGCGATCATCTTTAATGTAGTATTTCTTAACTAATGTACAATCCCACGAGGTGTATACGCGTACACTGGAGTCTGCACCGCTGTAATACTGGTGTAATACTGGTGTAATACTGGTGTGATACTGGTGTAATACTGGTGTAATACTGGTGTAATACTGGTGTAATACTGGTGTAATACTGGTGTAATACTGGTGTAATACTGGTGTAATACTGGTGTAATACTGGTGTAATACTGGTGTAATACTTTTGTAATACTGGTGTAACACTGGTGTAATACTGGTGTAATACTGGGGTAATACTGGTGTAATACTGGTGTAATACTGGTGTAATACTGGTGTAATACTGGTGTAATACTGGTGTAATACTGGTGTAATACTGGTGTAATACTGGTGTAACACTGGTGTAATACTGGTGTAATACTGGTGTAATACTGATGTAATACTGGTGTAATACTGGTGTAATACTGGTGTAATACTGATGTAATACTGGTGTAATACTGGTGTAATACTGATGTAATACTGGTGTAATACTGGTGTAATACTGGAGTGTGCACTGGTGTAAAAGATAAGGTAGAAAGCTCCTGTTTCTTCCCCCCTCAGCGTCCTTCACCATCTCCTTCACATCTCTCGGGGAATGTCTCTCGGGGCATTGCTACGGGTACTCGTCCACTGCACCACACTTAGCTATGCAATAAAACATTCATCACAGCAACGATGCTCTCATGTTCTCACATAAATTACGCTTATACCCCCTCCCCTCCATCCCACCCACCTAAACACTCACACGCACATGCCGACAACAACTCACAGGTCACTACACTCGCGCTTATTGCACTACTAGCACATCTCTGATTTCGCGCTCGAGTGTAATACATCCATACCCTATATATTTATACTAATGTGTGCTTTGTACCGCCGGGGCGAGCTAGGTCGTACCAGGTAATCGGCAGGTACGTGTACGATACTTATACCTGCAGTCGCGCGCCGTTGTTGATTCTATACTGGATGGACGATGAGTAGCAGAAGGATGCGGGGATGCGGGGCATAGGCTATGATAAACACGCGCTGCCTGCATGATCACGGTTCGCATGCGATTTCAGTAGCTGCCAGCGGGCTCTCTTCTCCTATCTATTCCTCTCTCTCTCACTCTCCTCATTTCTTCTCTTCTATTCTCTTCTCTCTTTTTCTTCGACTTTTTCTTCTCTCTTCACTCTCTCTCCGTATTCTCTTATGTCTTCTCCCTTTCTCTCTCTCTCGTGCTATGCTTCTCTACTCGGTTCTCTCTCTCCCATCTACCTCTCTACTCTGCCTCTCTCTAACTCTCATGTTCTCTCTCTCTCTCTATCTCTTCTCTTCTATCTCTTAATCTCTCTCTACTCCCCTCTTCTCCCTCTCTCGGTACCTCCCTCCTCGCTATCTTCTGCCCCCTCTACTCTCTCTCTCTCTCCCTTACTCTCTCTCTCACCTCTCTCTCTCGCTCCTCACCCCCTCTCTCTCTCTGCTTTCTCTCCCTCTCCTCCTGAGTCCCTCTTCTCTCTGTTGCGGCGGACCCGATGCCTCCTAGCTGCCCACTCTCTCTCGCTTCTCTCTCTTACTCGTCTACTCTCCGCTAGGCTCCTCTC